CCCCCCCCCCCCCCCCGGTCCTTGAAAAAGTGTTTCTGTGTGAAACTGGTCCCTGGTACAAAAAAGGTTGGGGACCACTGTTTTAAGGTATAACACTTGCCATTTCCATTGTTTTGACATAAAAACAAGAGAACCCATTGTCTTCCAAACATCTGTACATCTCTGGTCCAGTCTTTGAAGATGCCTCTACCACTGTTGCACCCCCCGGGGGGGGGTCCCTTTTGCTGGCTCTGGGTATTTTCATTTCAATGCCTCTCAATGAAATGAGCTGGCTGTGTGATCTCCGTTCCCCAGCACAAACATGTTCTTTTAGCTGGACTACATGCAGCAGAAACTGTTCATGTAGGAGTTCAAGTTCAGCTACTTATATACAATGGTGCCTGTATTGTAAAAAAATAAAATAAAACAAAAGGCACAAAGGCCAAGGTAAGTAAATTTAAACATCACACAAAATGATGCTTGAAGCGGGTCTTGTTGTAGTGTAGAGCTATTCTAAGTCAGCAGCTTTATCTTGCACATTGTATTGCTTGTTCCTGGTCAGCTTCCAGCTGAGGAAAGATAATAGCAGAATTCCAATAATTTTGTAGCCAACCTGGAGGCCTAAGTACCTGGAGGAATAAAGAGAGAAAGAGAGAGAGAGAGATCATTTCTTTTGAAATGCAACTTATCACACTTGTAGGGATGCAATAATAAAACTTTGCTGAATGATTGAGAAAAAACGAGTGATTTGCAAAACATTACACTAACCAATGCTGAATTTGAAACAAAACATTTTGAACTCCAAACAGTTACCTGAGTGTGAAGCAAATGTTCCACTGAAACTGGCTATTGCAATAATTTTTAAGTGTTTCAAAATGCTGTTTTAAGTTCTGTACACTTCCAAAATGATTCAAGTCAGATCTGAATGCAGAAATGAAAACGGAAATTCCATTTCGGCTTCTATGAAAATGGAAATTCCAGATCTGGGTGTGAGTTTTGACAGTGAGAACAATTAACCCAGTGAAATGGCTTGCTTCTAGACATTGTGGGTGCTCCATCACTGGAAGTTTTCAAGAAGAGACTGGACAGTCTCTTGTCTTGAATAGTACAAGATCTCCTGTTCGAGCAGAAGACCTCCAAGGTCCATTCCAAACCTGTTATTCCATGTGATTCTATGTTGTCAAGAAAAGAAGATTGGGGGGGGGGGGCTCCTCTTTTAGGGACAAAAAGCAGTTTCCCTCCAATAAGTATCCCAAAAGTGTTGTAATATTTATTTTGGAGACTTAACAAAGAGGTGGAGATAAATAGTAATTTTTCAATCATTTTATGAAGTGGAATGTTTCACCTGGCTGGCATTACAGTAACAGGATCAAGCTGTCTGAACTTCCAGTCATATGGTTTTTCAAAAAACAAACAAACAAACCAAGGTTATAAGGTAACAGCAATACTATACAGGTGAGAAATTCATAGTTACTTAGTGAAGCAGTTCCTATCATGGCAATTAAGGGTTAGCATGTGTGATTCAGTGTGCCCAAAAGTTTTCTGCTCTCTGGAGATCATAAGATGTGCAAGCCAAGTTAATGATTTATTGTTATAAAGGCAGGAATATGCTTGCCCCATTTTATTTTCATTTTAAGACAAAATTCCTTCCTTCCTTGAATCCATATTGTAATCTTTCCAACCACCAATGAGATGTGTCTCCAATTTCCATCATGTACAAATTGGTAATGCTACATGTGTTGGAACTGCCAGCCATAGATTTCTGACCATTTGGAGACCTCCTCTACAGATGGCTTTGAGTCAAGTGTCTGCATTTTGAGTAGCTATGGAACTGTGCATTGCTATTCACTCCCCATTCAGTTGGCTCAGGGGTCTGCAACCTTAAAAACTCAAAGAGCCACTTGGACTTGTTTTCCACAGAAAACACCAGGAGCCACAAAACCTGGGTGGGCGTGGCCAATGCAACATCAGTCACTTCCACCCAGTCACATGACACCCCCTCCCCCCCAGCTATGCCTACTCAGGTTTTGTGGCTCATGGTATTTTCTTTTCTCTGGGAAACAGCTCTCTCTCTCTCTCTCTCTCTCTCTTTCTGTGTGTGTGTGAGTCTCTCTCTCTCACATCTCTCTCTTTTTCTTTCCCTTTCTCTCTCCCCTCTCTCTCTTTCTCCCTCTTTCACTCTCTCTCATCTCTGTCTCTTTCTCCCTCCCTCCCTCTCATCTTTCTCCCCCCTCTCTCATTTCTCTCATTTCTCTCTCTCTTCTCTCTCTCTTTCTCTCATCTCTCTGTCATCTCTCTATCATCTCTTTTTTCTTCCTCTACTTCCCTCTCATCCCTTTCTCTCTCAT